CTTATGCTTGATATTCCCTCCTAATTTCATCATTTTTGTGCTCTATCACATTGCATTTACTCTGGGCTTGTTCTTGGTCTCCACTTCCTAGACTGTCCCAATAACAAATCTGGCCCCATGGTATGAAAAAATATCACAGAGCGTCACTGAGGGTAGGGGCTTGATCAGCCATATGTGGTATATAAATCATTCTTAGTGTCTTCTAGGGTCGCATGATGGCCTCACGAATCACCTGGAGTGATTTTGAGGGAAAGAATGAAGACTCCTGGATCCTTTAGGAGTCTTACCTCCATGACAGTCAAAAAAATTCCTCAGTTTTCTTTCTAATTGATTTTATTTAAACATGGGCCTGCTAAAGCAAAAGCATGAAAACCATTGGTAAAAAGACATTATGTTTTAGCTTGACATTATTAGAGGTGATAGGGAAAATAATTAGTGGCCAGTAGGGGACAGGAACTGACCAAAATAAATGGACACTGGTCCTGGTGTTTGCCAGATGTCACCTCCCTACTTGCTGGACTAAAGAAGAATGCCCTAGGAGTAGGGGTCAATCAGACAACCTGGGCAGCAGAGACATGGGAGAGACATGCGGGGATCTCAGACCAGTGCTATTTATCATCCAGCATGAAAATATTTCAATTTTCATGATCAATATGGATGTATCTCAGTAGCTACACAGTGAATCAGGGATAGAGTTAGGACTCTAATAACTCAATTTCCTGGGGAAAAACACATAACTCTTTAAGATTTCCTAGTAATTATAAGTTGTTGCCTTTGAACAATTATCAAAATGATCCTCAATATGCAAAAAAAATCAATTATCTTAATGGAACTTCTAGTTTGAACAGCTTCCCATAACAATGAATAAGTAGACACTGTATAACTTATTAGAGAATACAAAAATGTACAGTCAGCCTTCACATTCATGCATTCTGTATCTGTGGATCCAACCAACTATAGGTCAAAAATATTTAGCAAAAAAAGACAATGGTTACATCTTTACTGAACATGCACAGAAATTTTTTCTTGTAATTTCCTAAACAATATAATATAACAAGTTTTTACATAGCATTTACATTGTACTAGGTATTATAAGTAGCCTAGATATATTTTAGTATAACAAGATATATTATACTTAGTTTTATACCTGGTGTTTACCAGATGTCACTTAGTTTTATATTTATTTCTTTTCACAGATTCCAAAATAAGAGGCACCAAAGGTATTTAATTGTTTTTTAAATATTTATGAAATGTATTAATGGATGGTTCTGTTAGACTAATATTCTTTTACATAATATTAACAAATTTTGACATCACTGCAGATACTTGTTAAGATAATGAGGAGACTACAAGAAACCAATATCAGAGAATGCCTTTTGAGGACACCGTGTATCTGTTTATCATCTTCTGTTTTGTCAATAAGCATTTAAAAAAAATTCTGACATGCATGATTAGTTACAATAATGTTCTTTTGCTCTCCCTCTGGAATGATAAAGCATAATCACTGGGTTATGGAACATGGCATCTCGCTTGTAAATTTGTGAAGGAAGCTCTTTTTGTTGACAGTTCTAATGTCTGCCATCTGTTTGCATGGGATGAAGCCCTGGTACTCTTCTAACTGGCCATAAATTAGGTGTTAGCCACAGGCTTTTGACAGGATCCTTCAGTTACAGTTTCATTAAAAAAAAAAAACTAAAGCTATGAATTGAACATTTGGTGGGAAGCCCAACTTCTCTGCTAAGAGTGTACAAATGTACTTTTTGAATTCTTAGACCCAAGCTGATTTCTCTGTATTTGTGCGTAAGGCAGACCTCTCTCAAGGTGTCTTCTCTGTATATAACCCTGAAAATAAACTGAGTAGAGAGTAACACTGCTACATCCAAGGGAATCCTACACCTTTGTACCCATTCACACTTTGTAATAGTGTGAAGGAAGAGCATATTTATTTAGTGCTTATTTCATGTCTTGTGCTGCGCATGAATATTTACATATGCTATATTGTTTTATTTTCTAATCAATTTTATAATTTCAATAATTATAAAATTGCAGATAGGAAAACTGAGACCCAGGATTTAACTAATTTATCCATATTCTTGTAAAATAGTGCAGTCAAAATTCAAGTACTGAGCTTTGTTTGACCACATCCATTCACTTGTCAATGCACACTGTATAGGCCTAGGTTTGGATAAGGAGAGAAATGGCAAGATTAAGTTCATCCAAGTTCCCACAACTATCCTTATCTACATCCCAGCATTTCTCTACAAATTTTCTATGTTGCCTCTTTTTCACTTTTCAGAAAATCAAAAATACGCATATATGTGCTCTCCAAGAACCTTTCCTCATTTGTCCACAATTTCCTCCCCTGGGGCCCCATTTATCAAATATTCCCTTTAGTATTTCATTTGCCACATCTTTCTCAATACTTGTATACTGTAGGCTCAGTGCTCTCACTTCCTTTTCACCCACTCACAACTTTGTAATCTAGATTCCACCCTTACCACATTAATAAAACTGTTTTCTCCCAGGTGACTAAATTTATTGCCCTTTTTTCTATCTGCATGCCTCTCAGCTTTTAACACTGTGATCATCTCTTTTCTCATGAAATATCCTCTTGCTTTCTGGGGTCTCCTATACTGCTCTGATTTCTAACATCTCATTATTCTTCACTGGTTTTACTTTCCCTGACTAATGCTTAAATGAAAGGACTTTCCCAAATCTAACCTTGGCTCTGTAATCTTCTTCTCTATTCTTTCACACAATTCTGTCCTGTCTCATGGCTTCAGCTGCTAACCAATGCAGGCAATTCTAAAGTTAATTTTAAGTTAATTCTAAGAAAAGTTTCTGTTCCACATTTCCTGTCTCCTACAGGACATTCAATCTTGGGTGTTTGATATTGTATGTTCAATGCATTATATTCTTAGTGGAATGTCATTATACCTGCCAAACTGATTTTCCTATTTTCCTTTTATGTCTTTTCTATCCCAACGACATTCCTAATTTCTCCCTTGCTCTTCACATTCGGTAATACTTAAAACCCTTTGATTTTACCTATTCGTTTCTTATGGGTTCCTCTTATAAATGGTCTCATAATCACCAATTGAATTTAGACTCCTAACCAAATATTTTGTCTCTAACCTCTGCCTCTAATTCCTTTTTTTTTTTTGCATTTTAGGTTTTGGGGTACATGTGATGAACATGCAAGATTGTTGCATAGGTACACACATGGCAGTGTGCTTTGCTGCCTTCCGTCCCCTCACCTGTATCTGTCATTTCTCCCCATGCTATCTCTTCCCACCTCCCCACCCCCCGCCCCTCCCAATATTATGCAGCCATCAAAAACGATGAGTTCACGTCCTTTATAGGGACATGGATGAACCTGGAAACCATCATTCTCAGCAAACTGACACAAGAGCAGAAAATCTAATTCCTTTTACAAAGAATTCTCAGATGAGTCTATTAAATCCATTGTTACGGTGATATCTTTTTGCTGCATAAAATGTTCAGAGCTGCCCTTATCCCACATTCAATTTTCTCAGTGAACTAGTGCCAGCATGCTTGTGAACTTTTTGCAACACCTCTGCCAATTACCTTTACAAATTCTCACTGTAGCTAGTTGAAATGGCTGATAGCTTTCCTATGGGTATTTCTTTGCTAGTCATCATATTTATATTGCTTTTCCTGTGCTTCTGCATCCACCTAATAATACCTTTTCTTCCATGAAGATCTCCCTGACCTTTCTCAAAAGTACTCACTCTCTTTTCTGAATTCCCTTAAACATTTATTCCAAAGTTTTTTTGCCTGGTAGGATGGTTACTTTTATGTATGAGACATCCCTATTAGATGCTAATGCCTAAAACCAGCATCTGTGCTGCTCCTTTGACTCTTCTTCCAGCACAATGCTTTGTACATGGTTGATCCTCAGTAAATATGAGTTGAACAGAGGAGTAAATTGGTAATTATTGTTTTGGGAAACAAGGCAAAATATAACAATTTCAGAAATATCCATGGATATTACTGTCATTCTGCAACTGTATCTTCTCTGGTTCTAGTGATCCAGCATAGAAGGAACTCTAAAAGTGAAATTTGTGAATCAAGTAGAATTCTTCTCCATCTAGAGTCCTCTGAGCTTGGCATCAAGCTCCATCATTCTAGGCTTATCATATCTGACCCCTCAGGTTCACTCTACCTGGACACTCACTGCCTATTCCAGTTATAATGGCTCCACTAAAATGGATATTTTACAGTTCTTGGGTCAGGTGCTTGGCTATTCTGATAAATTTATCCACATACACCACAACAAAGAAAAGTCTGTTTGACTGCTTCCAGAAAGCACATATGCATTTTAACCATGTTCTTGGAGAATCAATAATCTGACATTTGTAGTTTAACCTAAAAAGCATCTAGGTAATGAAAAGAGCAAGTCAGAATTGAGAGAAGAAACAGGGATAGACATTATCAGACAAATTTTTAATGGCCTTAAATATATGCCTACATCTAGAACTGATTATTTCTCCAAAAGTATCTTCCCTAAATACTTCTATTATCGAAGTCTGGAGATGGGATAATAGAGGGGATAACTAAAACATACTCAAAGAAGAATTTATTTCTTAACAAGAACAGAATAATAATTCTAAAAATTCACAAAAGTAACTAGCATTGGTTGAGTACCTCCTGAGTAAAAGACACATGGACAAATGTTTTACTCACATGTTCTCATTAATCCTCAAAATATCCCTGTGATATTTTATTAACCCAGTATACAAATGAGCTGAGCTGAAGTACACAGTGGTTAAGTACCTGGGTAAAGATCACAAAGCTGGAATGGCAGAGCCAGCCACCTTTAAGAATAATAGGGAATAAGAATCAAATATCACACTCATTTAAAAATGAAAACATATAAAGCAAGTATTAATAGCTCCATAAAATGGTGTCCAATTCCAGGAACTCATGTGTGTTGCTGATATAAGTGTGTAATTCACATAATAAAACAAGGTACTTACTCTCTGTCAATCACAAGGCAGGTTACAGCTTCTGCAGCAATTACGTTTGCTGTTCTCACATCTTCCCTATATAAAAAATAGAGACATTCAAATAAAATAACCTTTAATATCAAAGCACAGTGTCCATTGTGATTAATTTAGGAAACAATTTACATTATATAAACTCTTCTGATTTATCCACCTCCAGGTTTAAGTTTTGTTTATGTTTCAATTTTTTTTTCTGAGGAATCATCTTACCCTTGCCATTAATCACACAAGTTCTACAATTATAATAGTTACAATTTTCAAATTTGAAATTTCACTCACACAAGTAGGACATATTTGATATCATTCCCTTTGGGGGAATTAATAAAATAGTTGGATAATGATCAAGATAGTAATAAACATACATACCTAAAAGATTTTAAAGAATTTGAATTTATACTTCTAGAAATTGAGTATCTGATCCATTTGTATATGAATTTATCATTATATCCTTGAGAACAATTGATCTGTTTAAATTATTTCCTTAAATATCATGTTTTTAGGTGGTGAATGTTTTGGCAACTTATGTCACATAGTCATTCATCTATACCAGAGGTTATGGTTCTTTAAGAGTATTTGACAAATCTTAAGTCACATTGATAGAAACATGTAAATATTGTCTCTTTATATGTATTTAATTTGTTCCTGGATTAGTATCTATCAGCCTTTTAAACCTTTAAAAATCTATCCAGGTATCTTATGTTTGATTTATCCAAAGGCAGATTTGATAAATTAATATTCATAATTCATTTTCAGCTACTAAAAATTTAATAGTATCACTGTCATGGTAACATAGTTAGTGGGTACCAAAAAAAATAGAAAGAATGAGTAAGAGCTACTACTGGATAGTACAATATGATGATGATAGTCAATAATAGCTAAATTGTGTATTTTTAAATAACTTAAATAATATAATTGGATTATTTGTAACTCAAAGGATAAAAACTTGAGGGATGGATACCCCATTCTCCACAGTGTGCTTATTTTACATTGCATGCCTGTATCAAAACATCTCATGTACCCCATAAACATGTAAACCTACTAAGTACCCATGAAATTTAAAAAAAATAAAAATTATAAAATAAGTTATACTTGAAAATTAACTTTTACCAAAAATAATAACATTTCTAAGTTAATATAATTAATGATGAATATGTTTGGAATACATTAAAGAGATAGGTACATATGAAATAATATAGAATTAAAAATACAGTCTATAAACCAAAAATCATCACATCTCTTAATAACAGACTCTTAAGGTTTTAAGAATAAAGATGTTCTCAGTAAATTTTTATACTTTCAAAACATACTACATTCTGACATATATTTCTGAAATTTATTTTCCACTGATCTCTTTGTCTTTCACTGTTGCTATACCATGCTGTTCAGATTACCATTGCTTTATATTAATTATTAGTATTTAATATTTGGCAAAGCAAGTTCTCCCTTACTAAAATTATTTTTTCAGAAATAGCATGATGATATTCTTAAGCATTTATTTTTAAGAAATTCACTGACAATACTCATAAGCATTCATTTTTCATAGAGACTTTAAAATTATCTTCCACCTTTGAAACATCCACCTTGGGATTCTAGTAGAGTTGTATTACATTAACATTTATTCATATATATCAAAACATGTTATTTCTGATGATATTAATTTTCCCATGCAAGAATATGGCATGACTTTCTACTTGTTCAGATATAATTTCATATCTTTAAATACAATTTCATAATTTCTTTCACTTGGGTCCTGATATTTAAAAAACTGTATGAGTTTTTGTCTTATGCGTTTCATATTATATTTCTCTTATGAGTAACATTTCTTTTCATTTGTTTCTCACTGGTTGCCCTATTCTTTGTAAAAAGCTATCACTTATTGTACAAAATCCACCCACCATACTATGTTATCCTAACTCTAAAATGTTTGTTATAGTCTCATTAATTCCCAGTAAAATCTTCCCAGTGTCTCCCTCACATTCCCTGCCTTCCATTCAAACTGGCCTTTTTTTGGGGCAGGGTGGGGGGACAGAGTTTTACTCGTGTCACCCAGGCTGGAGTGAGGTGAGGTGGCACTTGACTTACTGCAACCTCCATCTCCCAGATTCAAATTAGGGGGATTATAGGCAGCCACCACCACTCCTGGCTAATTTTTGCATAGATAGTAGAGATAGGGTTTCACCATGTTGGCCAGGCTGGTCTAAAACTCCTGACTTCAGGTGATCCACCTGCATTAGCCTCCCAAAGTGGTGGGATTACAGGTGTGAACCACCTCTCCTGGCCACTGGCCTCCTTTCAATACACATCATCGCCCTCATGCCATGAGTTCTTAGCATGCTTTCCCAAGGCCTAGGAAGTTCCTCTCTAATGTTTGCTTAGTTCACCCCTTCTTATCTCTTCAATCCCAGCCTACATACCCCTTCCTCAGGGATGCCATCTTGAATTGACTGGGTTGGGTTTCCTATGCATCTTTTCTCATAGTCCTACATACCTCTTCATCCAAGCATGTATCACCATTTGTAATTTATATTAATACAAGTATTTATGTAGTCATTTGGTTAATAACTCTGTTTTTCTCCCATTAAACTCAATGAGGACAGGGACCACTGCTGGCTTTGGTGCCCATTTCATCCCAAATATCTCACACATAGAAGATGCTTAGTGGTTAAAGCAGTTATGGCACAAACATCATACTCCTGAGCCCTGGGGTAAGAAGACAGAGCTCAGGTTTTCGTGTTGCACTATTCCGATGTTAAACCCACTTCCATTCACAAGCTATGTGAAAGCCTCAATTTCCTCATCTGTAAAATGGGAATAAGAGTACCCACTCACTGTGTGGTATTAAATGAGATAATCAAAGTTAAGTTTATCGTAGTGCCTGGCCCAGGGGAACTATGGTCTGCTGTTTATTATTTCTAATTCTTTTCATCCCCAACACCTTCATGCCTGCCTCTGTGGAGGCTCTATCTTGTATTTTATAAAACACTCCTACCCAGAAACACAGTCAGGATTTTCTTTCTGCCCCATAGATGTAAACAATATATTTTCACGTCATTATCAAGTTTTTAGTGGAAATTTTTGGTAAAGTGAACACAACAGCCAGAAAACTTCGGTAGTGTACATTTGTTTCTTCATAAATTGTGTGAATGACTTATTTCTAAGTTGTTCATGGCAGCATAAGTTTCTACCAATTGCTGCCAGCCAAAAACAAACTAACAACAATGATAAACAAACCACCATCACAGCATAGAAAATATCATATTAAATTTAGCTTTCCCTGAAATATATTTCCATTTGACTATTAAGAAATTGCCCACATTCTTTAAAAATATAATAAATACAAAATAGTACTTCATTTTGAAGATATGTTCTGTGCATATGAATTTTTAAAAATGTATTCATCACAAATTTACAATATTTCAGAATTTCATATTATCTGGCCTAAATTAGATATACTTTTTAAGTTGAATGCAATTTCCATGCCACAAAAAGGAGACACATTAGTATTTTTTAATGTAGATGTGGGGAAATATAAAGATCAGAAGAGTGACATAGTTAATAGAAATATAAAATTTTACTTTAAAAAGGAAAATAAGTATGGCCTAAAGCCAGGCATAATAAATACCCAGTAAAGTGACATATATTAAAACTGAAAAGAAGCATCATACAGGGGAAAAAACCAACATATTAAACAATAAATTATAACATCTGCCATTTATTAAGAATATAGCATATTTCAGGAACAATATTAAACATTTCATACAAATCTCATTTGTTGCACATAACAAAGGGTAGTGATTTTACACCAGATTTATACCTGAGAATAGAGGTTAGGGAATGCACCCGAAGTCAGATATAGCTAGTGAGTTGCAGCTCTGGAATTTGAACACAGATCTGGCTGTCCCTAAAGTCATGTTCTTTCCACAACAGTACACTGCTTATATACTCAGCTATCAGATTTTAATTCTACATTCATTAAAATGCAGAATAACCTTTCCGCAGTAAGTATTCATGTCTCTCTGTCCATCATTATGAAAATTATATTTACTTGTTCACAGAACCAGCACTAAGAGTTATGGGTTCCCAAATGTAAAACTAATATGAAAGGATCATTTTGATTTTAAAATTGTTAGAATTCCCTTCCATACCTATGTCCTAGCCTGCTATATTGCTTTTTAATAATATTGCCTAACAATGGGGAATTATTCAATGCCAAGCTCATTCAGTGGCAAACTCACGTTGCCATTATAGTTTTATTTTATTTATATTATTAAGGTGCTTTTCCCTCTCTAAGAGGGTATCTATAAATTCTGTTTCTGCTAGATATAGAGACAAATTACTTGATACTAATATATAACATGTATTAATTCTGCTAGAGACAAAATCCTTGGTATTAATATATAACATGTATTAATCTCTCATTTTAGGAGAGACAGTAGAAGTTTCTAACTTCTAAAGAGAGACTGTTAATGACAGAAGCTGACAGCACTATGATTTATTATGTATGTTCATATCGTTTATGGGTCCAAGGACCATAGTAAAAGCAAATATCATTTGGATTTAAAGATGTAATATTACATATTTATATAATACAAAGTTCTTATTAAATGTGTTGTTATTAAATATATTTTTATCCATACATAGATGTTATGATACTGGTTTCACACAAAACATCTACCAAGTTAGAAGGCATTTCATATAATAGTGGTTTAGAAGTAGGAAAAGGGAAGAAAGGAGAACACTATTTTTTTTTTTAAACTGAACTTTCATTTTTACTTTTTTATAGATCAGGGTATTTAATAATTTCTAATAGAATAATTCTTGACATTTTAATAAAATATCAAACAGAAGAGAATCTTATAACCAGAATTATAATGCTCAATTTATTAAAAATTTTTAACAAACACACATTACCTCTGAACATTCAACACACTATGCTTGCTTTTTTACAATAAATAAATAAATATCTATCTACATAATAGTCCATATCCAACATGCAAATTGTCTCTAAAAATAAAATCTCAGGTTTATCTAGTTCTTTG